CAACTGGGCGCCGAAAAAGCCACCGAAAACAAAAACAACATCGAGAAGAAAGTGTCAAGTGGCGCCACCAACAAAGGCGAAGTGTAGGTCAACGAGCAGTTTGCCGGCCAGATCGTCTTTTGTTGTCTCTGTCCCTCGCGCTGGAAGTGCTTGGCGGAGTGGCGGCCGCGTCGCCGAGGGATGCCGGAGCAGCCGTCTCTCTCGCACCGCCACGGGACGGCCCGGCAGTGTGCGAGAGACAGGGCGATGGGACGCGACTCTCTGGGCTCGGCCCGGCCGCACTCGGGCAAGCTCCTCCACGCTGTCAAGGTCAGCGCGCGTTATCGGAAGCCGCGGAGGGCCGAAAGGGGTGGGGGGCCCAGAAGAGGAAAATCGCGGGGTTGTGGAGCGGGAGATCCGGAGCGGGGCAAGGATCAGGTGATCCGCTTCAGCAAACGAAAAAAAAAAGCTTTGCTAATCAGAGCTTCTATTATTTTCACCCCGCTGTGGCTATTCAGTAATTACGGTGTATCAGACCCACGCTGCCTGTCTACGGGGCGTTCCCACGCTTTACATTTTTTTTTTCTAAAAGCCCCGCTTCACTGCCCCCATTAGCCGTTTTTAAACAAACGCGCGTCGTCCCTTTCGAATAAATACTGATAAAGTGCCCGGCTCCTGACAGCCTGTCTCCCCGTGTCGCCACGACCCGGATCAGCGCGGTGATAATGACCCGGGCATTTCAGCTTGGGCATTATTATCTTTTGGGTCCGAATGTGTCTGTGTGTGTGAGTCCGCGTAAGTGTCAACACATTCAAAGAAATAATAATAAGTGCGTTTTGGAGCATGAAGCGAGCGAGGTGGGAAATTCCTCGTGCGGTATCTTTTAGAGAGAGAGAGAGAGAGAGAGAGAGAGAGAGAGGAGAGAGAGAGAGAGAGAGAGAGAGGCCGGCATTTTCATGCTCCACATGATTTACTGCTGATGGCACACGGTGTCGAATGGAGGGGGCAGCAGTGAAAAAATGTGATGTGACAGAAAGGCAGAGAAGCAAAGCAAGAAAAGGGGGGGATATCGTACGGAGGGGCCGCCGAGAGCAGCTGAAAGCTGGCTTCTGCTGGAACTCCGCTGAAAGCATGAGTCTTATCGCCAGGATCGTGCCCCGAAGCGAAAAAAGACACATCTTGCAGTTCCGCTTCGACTGGGCCGGGCGGCCCGGCGACACTCTGGACCACCCCTGGGCCAAACACACACACACACACACACACAGCGCATCGCTTACGTGAGCCCTTCAGGTAGTGCCTGCAGGGTACCCTCTCCAGAGGAGTTGCACAGTTGACGAAAGCACGGAAGGGGAACGGATAGACATGTGAGGCATCCTTCGCGTTAAACATACTGCATCGGCACCCCGAAAAAAAAAAGTTCCACGTGCCCTTTTACATCCATCAACGAAAGCAAATAGAGGAAACAGATTCGCGGTCATCGGATCCGATTGACGTGTTCCAGATTTCGACGAATCAATTTCGCTATTCGAGCCAATACACGATAATAAACGACCGTGTGCTCTCATTAGACTCGACGCTTCCCCGTCGAAGGGCAAAAAAGGAGGGGGGAGGGGGAGGCTTCGAGTGTGATGCAAGTCACACACCAACACGAATAACAACGCACTAACACCGACACACAAAGAGCAATCGATCAATCGCGCGGAAGCAGTAATGAAATTACTGTAACGGCAGCCGCAATCCGAGCGGGCCTGGCCGTGGCGAGCCGCCGTGCCGAAATGGATCCATCACGTGTCCGTCAATCATCCAATTAAACGGACCGTAAATCAATAGGCGGCTACACACACACACACAGACACACACACATGCCGCCAAAGGGCCACACGCCGTGTGTGTGTGTGTGTGTGTGTGTGTGCGCGCGCGCGCGCGCGCGTGCTAGTTTGCAATGTGTGAAGGCGTGTGGAAATGCGTGGAGGGCCGTCAGGTATTAGATGTTCTATTTCTTTATTAAATCCTTAGTGACCCTCCCTGCGTCCTTCTCTCCCTCTGTCTCTCTCTCTTTCCCTCTCGCGCGACGCGCTCAGGTGCTCTCTGGCCGCCGTGCACCTCTTAAGCCCTTGAGTGCAGGGAGCAGCGCACTGCAAGGAGGCCGGCTGGGTCTCCGCTGGGTCTCCGCTTGGTCTCGCTCGGTCTCGCTTGGTCTTCGCGCGGGCTAGCAGCATTTGCAGGGCTTCGCTGCGCTTCGCTCTCTTTGCGGGTCAGAGGAGCTTCTTCTTCTCTGTCCAGATTACCGACAGAGAAGAAGAAGAAGAAGAAGAAGAAGAAGAAGAAGAAGAAGAAGAAGAAGAAGAAGAAGAAGAAGAAGAAGAAGAAGAAGAAGAAGAAGAAGAAGGGGGAGGAAAGTGGCGAATCGTTCGGTCTCTGCGGGCCGGCGCGCGGGCCGGGGCAGCAGGTGGCGGCAGCGAAAATCACATTGAACCGGGATTCGAACCCGCGTCCCTCTCCAGAGGCCCGGCGCCGCCGCCGAGGTCACTGCGGTCGCGTCGGCCCGGCGCCGCGCGCGCACTTCAGTGCTGTGAATATTGGATGGAGCCCCCGCCGCGCCCCGCCGCGCCCCGCCCAACGAGCGCGTTCCGCCGCGCCATACGTCCAAAGTTGACAAACTATTTCGATGAAAACTTTATCCGTTTCGGTAAAAGGCCGGGCCTGGCAGTGCAAGTTATGGTGGAGACAATGCCTGGGCTGCGGCTAGACCGACGTGGGCGTGCATGCGCTGTGTGCGTGTGTGTGTGTGTGTGTGTGTGTGTATGCTGATGAAATCTCTTCTTCCGTAACCGTGGAAGAAAGAGGCAAAGAGGGTGTGCCAGGCGTCCGCTAAGACTCCTCCAGATAGCGCGACGGGCGTGGCGGCCTGGCCGATAGATAGCGGTGCGCGGTGCGTTGGAGGCCCACACGAGGCGGACTTCTCGGAATGGTTTACCGGCCAGAGGACGCGGAGAGGACACAATCAATCGATTCCGTTTAATGTCAATCAACAAAAAAAATAATGTAAAAATGAGCAGCGAGGAGGTTGTTTTTCTTCGACTTCCAAGAGAGTGTCACTACTGAGTTTTGATTTCTTTTTCCCTTCTCCGCCGCCCCCGCGGCAGACCCCAGCGGACTTCCCCCTTGCTCCGCCGCGAGTTGGCCGCGTGTCGATATATGTAGAGGGGGGGGGGTCTCTGAAACGTATCAGTGGCCTCTCAGGAAGCAGCATATTCATAAAGAGAGGCGAAGAAAGGGCGGGTCTGGAGGCGATAAGGGCGGCGGGGCGGGGCGGGGGGGGCGCCGAGGGGAAGACACAAAAAGGTAAGGTGATGATGTAAGCGCGGCTGTAAGCGGGACCGAACTTGGCCAAAGTGGGAGTATAGAGCGGTTGACGGGGCAAACTTTGTGGAGGGGAGGGGGGAGGGGAAGGGGGAGGGCTAGGCCGCGCCGCCACCGCGTCGTCAGGTGCCGTCTGTCTCAATCCACCTGACTCTGTCTGCGCTGATCGAGAGGCGGCGGCGCCACGGCGAAAGCACGCCCAGCGTCGCAGCCCAGCAGCGATCGGACGTTCGTTCGTTTCCGGAAGCGGAAGGACGCACGGAGGTCCAATTGCAAGGAGGGAGGGGGTTTTAAAGCCGAGGGGACGGTGACCGGGTCAGGGAGCCACCACGAAGTGAAAAGGGGCGGACGGGCAAGGTGCAAGTGCCTGCAAAGCGTGCGGCAAAGCACCAAGCGTCCCTTGACGCGCACCCACCTACGCACACACACACACACACCATGACGGCTCGCGCCGCTTGCTCCTTCACGGTGTTGGCTGCCCCACTTCCAAACTCCCGTACCAGCAGGGTTTAAGGTTTAGCGGACCTCAAAACGGACCACCAGCAGCAAGGGGTCGGTTCGCCATTTTACAGCCCGGCTGTTCCAACTACCGGGCGGGGCGGGGCGTGGTGTGGCGGGGCGGGGCGTGGTGTGGCGGGGCGGGGCGTGGTGTGGCGGGGCGGGGCGTGGTGTGGCGGGGCGGGGCGTGGTGTGGCGGGGCGGGGCGTGGTGTGGCGGGGCGGGGCGGGGCGTGGTGTGGCGGGGCGGCGGAGCGCCACTTCCACGTCGCACCTCCACCGGTCGGGACGCGCTAGACACTCCGCGGCAAGGGGCTTGAATAGTGCGCGCTTTATTTTGGAGTCTTCAATTCACACACACTCACACTGACACTCACACTCTCACTCACTCACTCACTCACTCACACACAGAGCTTAATACCCCGCTGCAGACCGATTGGCACTCTACCGTCCCATCCACTTAATGGCCAAATCGGCTGAGTCCTGCCCTGCCCCAGCTCGGCCGGCAAGCTGAAGGGATGAATACGGATGAATACGAAGCAGGGAACGGCCGGGGCAGGCCGGGCAGGCCGGGAGGCTGAAATGCGGTCCAGCTGCACTCTCGCGCACACACACACACACACACACACACACGCACACACACACACACACACACACACACACAGGCAAATCCATCTTACTCACACACGGGCAGGCGCACGGAGCCCCGGCAGCGCAACACGTATTTTCCCAGCCGGACCCACTATTTTCTTATTCTCCGAATCGGACGGAGATACCGCACCGCGGGCTGCTGCGGGCTGCTCGCTCGGGCGGCAGAAAGAAATGATGTTCAGGTGGAGGCGGACGGGGACGGTCTCCATGCCGTTCGCGCGCGCGGCAGGCCAGGTGCGCGGCGGGTAGTTCCTGGCGGTGTTGTTGTTGGAGCTGCGGGGCTGCGGCCGCGCCGAGGGCGGCCGAGGGCCAACCTCGCACCCTTGCTCAGCTGCTTGCCCGCCGCAGCCGTGTCCGCAGTCAGTACTTGCAACTTTGCACCCCGAGTACGCCCTCCCCCTGGAACTCGACGCGCTGCGGCCCGCGGCCCGCGAAGGCCAACGACGGCCAGCGAAAGGCAGCGAAAGCAGCCCCGGCCGACCAATGGAAAAGACAAAAAACGACACTCACCTGGCGTTCTGCGGCCCGACGGACTTGGCCTCGTACGAGGAGGAGGCCGTGATGGCGGTGTCCGGGATGCGGCCCGCCTCCATGCCCAGCGCGCCCGAGCACTCGCCTGCGACACAGAGAAGGCAGTTGAAGCGGCGGTGGCGGAAAGGGGCGCCTGTGGGGTAGGCAAGCCCGCCAGGCAGGGCTGGCAGCCGGCGGCCTACCCGCACGGCGCTCCGAGGAGAGAGTTTGGGGCGCGCTGCACTGTAGGGTGATGTATAAGAGAATGAGGCCCTCATTGCGAGACGGCCGTCCAGGCCGGGGTCGGGCCAGGGCCGGGCAGCCCGGCAAGTGCGCCCAACGGCAAACGGGACACTAGCCAAACTTTGTATGATACGACGGGCGCGTTGCCCCCACTTACCCCCACTCCACCACCCCCCGGCCGCTCATTCTGAATCGCTCAGAGTTTGCAAGACATCGGGGCGAACAATAAGGTTATCCCACCAGGAGGCTCTGGTTTCATGAAGCCAACTACACACGCTTTCGTGCGTGCGTGCGTGCGTGCGTTTGTGTGTGTGTATGTGTGTGTGTGTAAGCACGCGCAAGTCCAGTATGCGTGTGTGTGCGTGGCCCAGGTAGTAGTGCCAGGAGACCCGCCCAGGTCGTGTTGGCGTCGCACAAAGGCGTTGATGCGGGGCACAGCAAAGCTATTAGTCAAGAAGGTCTTGCGTGTGCGTGTGTGTGTATGAGCGAGCCCGAGAATGCTGCATGGGACAAACCGGCCACGTAGCGGCGAGAGTAGGGAGCAAGGAGGGGCAGGGGCCATAGGCTCCTTTGTTAAATTTGAAATTTAGTAGGCCAATGTTCTTAAAAAGAACGGAGTCATTATAGACACGCAGCGTTTAAATAATAAAAATGGGTCTTATATACACGCAGCGTGTATATAATATATATACATCTTATTTTCACGCAGCGTGTCTCCAAGGGCCAGTTTTATTATTTACACGCAGGAAAAGTTTTGCTGCGTGTAAATAATATTTTGGCTTTTATTTAAACGCTGCGTGTCTCCAAGGCACCAAAAATTATTGGCACGCAGGATTGTAAAAAGTCTTCCGACCGGCGAATGAGTCCGGCATGGCGGCTTGGTGGATGAGTGGGTCCGTGCTTGCACGAGAATTTTTTGGCCCGGGTTCGAGACTTGCCTTCTTCTCAAAAAATTTCTGCGTGTCAATAATGAAAACCGGTGTTGTTTCAACGCTGCGTGTTTATAATAAATTCACATGTTATTTACACGCAGCGTGTCTGCAAGACCCAGTTTTATTATTTACACGCAGGAAAAGTTTTGCAGCGTGCAAATAATATTTTGGCTTTTATTTAAACGCTGCGTGTCTCCAAGACACCAAAAAATTATTGGCACGCAGGATTGTAAAAAGTCTTCCGACCGGCGACTGAGTCCGGCATGGCGGCTTGGTGGATGAGTGGGTCCTTGCTTGTACGGGAATTTTTTGGCCTGGGTTCGAGACTTCGTCTTTCTTTCAAAAAAATTCTGCGTGTCAATAATGAAAACCGGTGTTGTTTCAACGCTGCGTGTTTATAATAAATTCACATGTTATTTACACGCAGCGTGTTTGCAAGACCCAGTTTTATTATTGACACGCAGAAATTTTTTGAGAAGAAGGCGAGTCTCGAACCCGGGCCAAAACATTCCCGTGCAAGCACGGACCCACTCACCCACCAAGCCGCCATGCCGGACTCAGTCGCCGGTCGGAAGACTTTTTACAATCCTGCGTGCCAATAATTTTTTGATGCCTTGGAGACACGCAGCGTTTAAATAAAAGCCAAAATATTATTTGCACGCAGGAACATTTTGTCCCACATGGCCACCGTCGGTGGACGTCTGAGGGGAAAAATCCTGCGTGTCAATAATTTTTTTCTGTTATATGCACGCTGCGTGTACAAAAAGGTCCAATTTTATTATTTAAACGCTGCGTGTATATAATATTAGTCTAAAAAGAATTAAGAAACAATTTTAACCATTTTATGGGGGAGCCATTAAATGTGACGAAAGTTCAAACAACTGCCGAAGCGGTGCCGTGGTGAGTGGATGGCGTATGTCAGCGTGAGATTGTGTGTGTGCGTGCACGCGTGCACGCGTGCGCGCGTGCGTGCGTGTGTGTGTGTGTGTGTGTGTGTTTTTCTCCGCGTGTGCGTGCGTCAGTGTGCGCGCTAGTGAATATGACGGGGCGCGGGTCTTAACTCACAGCGGAGTGTCGTTTAGGGGGCTGCCGTTAAGTACCGAGACACGCAACTTTGCAGGAGAGGGGGGGGAAAGGGGGGGAGGGGGAGGGGAGAGGGGAGAGGGCCGCGCGCGCGCTGCAGGAGGGAATTCAATGATGCAGTCGAACTAAACGGGCCGCCTGAGACACGCTTCAGGCGGAGCGTGAGACGAGGCGGGTCCTGTCCAAAAGCCCCGGTGATATTTAAAGATATATTCAAGGACGTTCATAGATATTCATATTCCCTGAACACAAAAATAGCTATCGATTGCCCGCTCATGCTTTTCTGTCCATAGTGGCGGCGCCTGCATCGGTACAAAGCGCAAAGCGCCACAGTGCATCGGTTGATTGGCTCGGAAAACAGTGTGGTGGAGAGAGGCAGGAAGCGGCGCCAGATCGTCCTCTCTCTCTCTCTCTCTCTCTCTCTCTCTCTCTCTCTCTCTCTCTCTCGTTCGCGCGATTGTCAATGAATAATGCGGGATGAAAGGGTTTCGGCCACACAATATGCAATCAAGAACGCGTAAACAAAATGCGAGAGTCGTCTGCTGCCGCGGGGGCGGGGCGGGGCGGGGCGCGTTCGAGACAATCGCATTCCTCATCGATAAAAGCGGGCCTCGTTATCCCGAGGAGTGTGAGAGAGTGAGTGAGAGAGTGTGTGCGTGAGTGAGAGAGGAACAGTCGACGAGATCGTGCGCTCGCGTGAGCGTGTGTGCGAAGACCATTCCGTTTGAAGGACTTTTGGTTTCGTTGACAGGGCGAAAGGAGAAGCCTCGCTGGCGCTCGCCGGCATTGGCAGTGGGTCAGGGCGCCCGGCCGTCGGGTAGTTGGGAAAATTTGATGGGCAGTTGAGGGGGAAGAAGGGGAGGGGGCAGCGGAAATGGCCGAGAGTGGCGGGGGGATGCACAAAAGCGGTGGGGAATGTAAATTAGCCCAATCATTAGGCACTAATGACTGTGATTGTAATTAGCCTGCCTGAGCGCGCGAGTGCGAGAGAGACACACTGACACACTTTTGCGGCCTCAAGGCAGCTCGTCTGAAAGTGCAGATGCACGCCGTTTCGTTTCCCCACCCGATCGGGGCGAGCCGGGCGAAGGGCGACCTCACCCTGCTTACCACGTGCCCTGAAAAACGAGGAAAAACCACTCCGAATTTCTCCCAGTTTTTCTGTTTTTCTTGGCAAACTCTTTTTATTTTCAAGGGAAGCGCGCACGGCATGGCGCCACCCCTCCAGCGGGGCGGTGCTGGCTGCCTGCAGGGCGGTCCACGCTGCGGCCGCTGCGGCGCCCCGCCGGGCCGGCAGCCCGAGCTGGCAGCCTCAGACAAACGCCGTCGTAATTGGGCCGAGGTGTTGTATTGGGGGAGCAGAGGTGACGAGTGTTTCCGGACTAAACAGACGCGGCGGCCACCACCAGGTCAAGAAGCGCCCCTCGCCAAGCACGTCACCGAGGCCCCCGTCACCGAGGCCCCCGTCACCGAGGCCTCCGTCACCGAGGCCTCCGTCACCGAGACCGGGAGAGTCTCCCAGCTTGATGCCACAAAGTCGGAGATTGGTTCAAACAAACGAACACAGTGAAAAAGGCGTATAAAAATGAGACTACTGCTTACCATCCTCCTTCTCGGCCTTGTCCGCCTCCTCGGCGCGCGCCGCGGCCAGCAAGCACAGCAGCAGCACGGCCCTCATGGTGGCGGTCGCGTCTACCTGCCGCCTAGGACGCGCCGGGCCCCACGCCAGTCCATGGATCTGCGGAGGCAAAGACACAGGTTGTAGTTCACTGCTGGCATTTCAGTCGTCTGTATACAACCACACTGAATCAATCAAAAGAAACACTGTTGGAATTTTATTTATCGAATTTACAAAAGCCTTTTAAACAGGTGGAGGGCGAACTTAAAAAGAATATATAGGTGAATCGAATTCAGTGGGACGGGCGGTAAGCTCTACAGGCCTCGGCACTGGGCCACGACCGCGGGCGGCTCGCCTTGGAAGGGCCGAAAAATTAAGACACTGCGCCATAAATCAGCCGCGTCAGCGAATGCGGTGAAATATGGGGCGGAGGTGTTGCAGGGCACGGGAATGCAAAGGACGAGTGAAAGGGAGAGGAGGGAGGAGAGAGAGAGAGAGAGAGAGAGAGAGAGAGAGAGAGAGAGTCAAAGAGAGCGGCAGGGACACAACAAAAAGGGAGACGGGGCTCGCCTCTTCACCAGGTGTCGGCCTATTTAAGATCCCCTATCATTATTTAAATGAGCGGCCCGCCGTCCCGAAGCCTCTCTCACTCTCTCTGTTTCTCTCTGTCCCCTTCGTTTGCGTACTGTTAACAGAAGAACGGCGCTCATCCCACTGCTGGCAGTGTCCCACCCATACGTTTTTAATCCTTCTTGGATTAATACCGTCGGGCAATAACCAGGCTGGCGCGGCGGGGCGCTGCAAAGTTGCACAAGCGAGCGGAGTAAGAAAAACACGGAAAAACACGGCGCCGCCGCACCGTGGCTCTGTACCGCCATTTTCCCATTTTCTTTTCCCCCCCGCAAAAGTGTGTGCGGTTTGTTTTTCTCTCGTCCCCGCCGACTTTTCAGCGCGAGTCCACGCGAGTGCGCGCGCCGGCCGATTGCGCGGGTCGGGGTGAAGCACGAATAACGAAAAGTGCGAGGGAGGGGGGAGGGGGGGGGCAGAACTAGGTAAGTTTCTGACAGGGCCCCTGCCCGGTCAAATTAGTGGGTGAGACCGCCTCTCTAATCCAGGCTGGCGAAATCGATTACAGGGGACAGGGAAGCCCTCAAGGAAGTCGTCGGACAAATGCACCTGGGCCACCACGCCCCAGCTGCCGCTGACTGGGTTGCCTCGCCCCCGGTGTGCCCCCGGCGTGGCGATGCAGTGTGTCCTCCTCGAGGGGGTAACAAGGCGACTAACAAGGGCCGGAAAGGGTCCGACGGGGTGGGGCCGGCCCACTCCACGAGCATGGCGCCCTTGGCGAGCTTCGCCGGGAACAAGGGCACGGCGTTCGTGGCGGTTCGCGCATGCCGGCATCGCGTCGTACGACGCCGGACAACGGACAGTACATGAATTGCGTCTCATTTTATTAAAACTTTAGCATGATATGTTTATAGTGCACCTAATTTATGTAATTAAATTGTATATAGATTACATATGTACGAATCTGTCAATGGTCAACATTGAGTATGCGCGGTCGGGCTCCAGTGGGACTCCAGTGGGACTCCAGTGGGACTCCAGTGGGACTCCAGTGGGACTCCAGTGGAGCTGCAGTCGGGACGTTCCGGGCTCCAACGGCTGCGCTTTTTAATTTCCTGGCGCGGCACTCCCCTGGCCGTCCCGTCCGGCTGTCCGCCCGCCACGCCACGCCACGCCCCGCCCCGCCCCCCGTGGTCCATCACGTCCAGGACTCCAGGCCCGCTGGACTCCAGGCACGATTCGCGGCTCCAGACGGCCGAATCCGCCCATCCAATACAGACGAGCCACGCGGCGGAACCGGACCATAATCACGCCAGGCAGATCGGGAGGAAAACTCGGTAATATTTTAAAGGGCGAGCAAGAATAATTAGCGGTCCGGGAAACTCGGACGCGACGGAAGTCTCGCGCGGAGAGGTCCTTGGAGTGATTTAAGCATCGAGTAGCGCAGGCACGGCGTGGAGGAAGGTGTCTCAGCTGCAACCTGGCTGCGATGTAGTTGGAGACGACGAGACAATCAAACAGTCGCTCCAAGTTTGCGCCCTGCTTCGCCTGCTCGGCGTGCTCGGCGCGCACCGATCCCAGCGGGACCATCCGGGCGCCCCCTCTGCCGACGTCCCTGCACCTTGAGGGCCTGGAGGCAAGCCTGGAGGCAAGCCTGGAGGACCTGGAGCCGCCGGATTATGGCGCCACTCCTCATCACCGCTTGCCGCTTCCGTGTTAATTTTTTGAAGCACCGCTGGGACGCTGGAAAACACCGGCCGGGCGCGACGCAGCGCGACGCTTCAGCTCGCGCCTTTTGTCCCCGCGCTTCTTGTCCTTGTCCTCCTGGTCCTTCTTGTCCTCCTTGTCCCCCCGGCCGTTGTTCCTCGCGATTATCATTATTTTTGCGACCCGATTCTTGATTCGGCCCGTCTTGCCGCGGCTTTCTGTTCTGTGTTTTCCAGCTTTTGTTCCTTCTCTCCTTCGTCCCCCTCTCTCCTTTTGTTCCCATCCCTCTCCCTCTTCCTTGCGGCCCGCGCGGGCAGCGGGCTGGGCCTGCAGCTTCGAGATAAGGCGGCCTAAACCTGCGCCGCTTGACCGGCGTGGCCAAAGACACCGCCAGACTCCACAGTGAAATTCAGGCTGGAAAAAAAATCAGAGTGAAATTCAAGCGGCCGGAACAGGGGAGAAAAAAGGGAAAAAAAGACAGTCGCGTACAAACACGCGGCAGGCACACTGTGCTCTCATCACTATCTCTCTTTCTCTCAGACGGGCTCGATGGGGCGTCCCGCAGAGGTGCGAGAGAGACAGAGCGCGGTGGAATCAGCCTACAGGGTGGCAATGATATTGAAAGAGCGGCGGCAGTAGTCGTAATCTGGCCGGCGCGCTAAAAGTGTTGGAGGGTGGGAGGGGGGAGTGGTTTTACGCAAGTAGGGCCGCCTGGCCCGGCCGGCGGAATCACTCAAATATAAGAAAGGCAGAGTGGGGGGAAGCGAAAGTGATGCGAGCGGGGTCGTCGTCGTGGAGGTCCGTCCCAGGAGGCACCTCGGGGTGGTCTTCCCTCCATGAATGACTAGCGCCAGGCGCGCGGCGCGACAGGCGTGCCACGGCCTCCCCTCCAGCAAATCCAGGGCCCAGGGCGGCCACCGCGGCGGCAGCCGATTTATTTGCAAATGTTTCTTCCGCTGCGGCGTGGCACGGCTTGGCACGGCTTGGCACGGCACGGCCACGGCGACGCGGAGGCGGCGGAGGCCATGGCGAAGGGGAAGGGGGGGGGAGGAGGACCGATGACCCTATTAAAGAGCAGGAATGTGTAACAGTCTTTAAGCCCCATCCATCTCGGCGATGAGACGCGCAGAGATCCGCACTACTCCCAGGCCCTCGCCGTCCATATATCCCCGTGTCATCCTGGCTTCTTTCCCCCGCCCCTCTGGGGCCGCAGGGGAGGTGGCGAGAACAAAAGAGGATTGAAAACCAAGATTCAGCCCTCACGCGCGCGCGCCCACACACACACACATGCGCACACACGCACACGCGTGTGGACATGAGACATCGATCTCCGAGACACGCGGCGTGGGACAGCCCTGCCTCAGCCCTGCCGGCACGCGCGCCCGTGCGTGACGATGCAAAAAGCGCGCGTGTTTTCGAAAACGGAGCGCCGCCGCCCCCGAATCCCCCGGCACCACCAACAGAGGCGCAAAAAAAAAAAGTACTTTGAAGAATAAATAAATGTGGAGGAGAACGGTCCGCCGTAGATTGGCTGCTTCGAGTGGAGCCGAGAAAGCAAGCAACCACACCGTAAGCGGTACTACAGCCGTGGAATGGCGGCGGGGGAAAGGGGCGGGATTCTGGATTCTGGCACTTGCTGTCAAATCAATAACATTCCCCGGCAGACCTGCTGGGGACGGTGCGACCGCCGCCCCGTCTGCAGTCCGATCCCGGGCGGCCCTCTGCCGTCTCTCTCGCTCCTCCACGGGGCGGTCCGAGAGAGCGAGAGAGACAGAGCCCCGGCTGCTGGGGCCCAAGCGCCCTGGCCCTCTGGATGCGTGCTGACCCGGGGACGCTGGGCCAGGCGAGGCGAGGCGACCGAGGGCGGTATTCAAAATGAAATAATCTCGGGTTGCGTGCGGTGCGGTGCCGCGGTTTGCGCCCTTGGATTTTCCCTTTTGCTTTCCCGGCAAACTTTTTCATTCTGTTCTCTTTGTTCGGGGCGCTACAAGTCGGGGATTCCGCGTCGGGTCAACGAACACCCCCGCAGCAGTGTGGAAATCGACAGTCGCAGATAAGCTGCTCTCCGAAATGATTTGAAAGGAATTTTTTGGAAGAGAAGTAATCATTTTGACTGGGGATCATCACGGTCGATCACGTCATTGCGACATGATTAGTCAAATCGACTGGAGGTTCAGCCGATTCTGCTTACGTTTCTGAGAGTGTGGTGCTCCACACGGGGCTACCTCCATTGTTAACAATCAATTTAAAACTCGGAAAGTGCGCCTCAAAATTGTGCAGTATGCGGTAACAGTGGTGATCAATGGAAATTTTTTCCCAAAAATTTTTAACAGCGTCACACACTCTCTTATGACCAACGGCCGCCGAATTTCGCTGAAGTGGTCCGTTTTAAACGACCCGCCTCCTGCGGGCGTGCTTGTGCTCGCACCAAAACGCCTTGCCAGCGAAACTGCACACGGGAAGGGTCACGCACATTACATGCAATAATTATCGGAATCTCATTACGAGAGGGGTCCATGACCAAAGGGACGACAAAGTTTGGAGCAAGCAGGCTGCACTGGTAAGGTCCCCGGCCAGCCGGCCGCTCCGGAGGCAGCCCTGTCGTTATTCGCACGCGCCCTGCAAACAGCCCCGCGATGTGGTGGCGATCACCAAGGCGGCGGATTCAATGTGCTTCTCAGCATATTTTGATGGAAATGGAGGGTCGAGCCCTCAGAGCCCTCGCCAGTCATTATGAGAGAAACGACGTCGGATTACGGGGGGCGGTCCGCGCCGCATTCAAATGGGGAAAGGCTACCTTGGAGCAGCGCGTTAAATGCTGGTCGGTAGCTTTGGCTTTTCCACCAACT